TGTCCAGGGGAACATCGTGTGAAAGGGGAACAGTCGTAAAACCCTGAGTGGGGCCAGAGAGGGCTATTATATTTCTTCTTTTAAAACTGCCTGTCTCCATAGTGCTGGTGTGTCACCGCACAAACATTGAGGAATTACACTCCTGCTAATAACGCTCCAGTTTTGTTCTGCCAGGGACCATAACGATGGAAGGCAGCCATAGGAGATCATGAACTCTCCTACTTCCTACATACTACTCCTTAGTAGGATATGTACTACATACGCTCCAATATCTCTACTGGTTAGCGAGTGCTGGGAAGGAAACTGGGGCCCAAGCGGGGCACTGTGAATGCTGTGCTTGAGTGTCTAGGGGGGTTTTGGTCAGCATGTGGCAGCTGCCCATAGCCTGCTTTGGCCCCTATGAAACCCAGGGCTCTGGTTTGCTCAGATTGACCCCATGGGTATGTATGTCCTATGAGAGAGCCACTCCACATTGCTCATGCACTGGCAGATATTTGCAGATATCTGGGGTGATGCTACCTTCATAAATGCTGTCTCAGTAAGGGTGCAGAGTATACCATCAGTGCTGCTGGCTGGTCTTTTTTTGGTATGTAGCTCACTCCCCAGACGTCATGGATTCCAGCGAGGTCAATTTGACAGAACAGTTTGGGTTGCATTTTTTTCCAAAAAAAATGTCTTGGTGAGAGGCTTGTAACACTGGCTAAGGAAGAAGAGCGCCATCAGTTCCCATCAGATAGGGCCCTGCCCACTTACACTGCAACGAAAGCCCTGAAAATGCAGCGTGAGAAGACCGAGTGAACTCTGGAAGTGAAAAGCTGTAACCCAGCTCTGCTGTCCATCCTGGGCTAACACCTCCCTGTGCAGAACAGTGCTGCTGTTTGTTGTTGGGTCATGGATCATTGGCAAGTGGTTTGTAGGTCATCCTAGATGGTCAGCTCTTAAACAGCAGGGTTTTCTAGCACTGGTGCTAGGGATGGGGTTCTGCCCTTTACTGCAGTGTGTCTTGAGAGAGCGCAGGTGCCTTGTATGTGAATGGCACCTGTTTCCTTGCCCCAACTACACTTTGTCTAGGATTTTCCAGCTCAGACACTTTTTTGTCCTGTGGCTACCTGCCTTGTCCGCTTACAGCCTTATATCCTGACTCTGCCCGGGAGTGGGAACAAAAAGGTTGCTTTGATAAGACTGCCAGGTTCCTCAGAGCTTCCCTGATTGCTGAGGAACATATCTCATCCTTGGGAGAGCAGTGCAGCCAGCCCTGGGACAGGGCACAGAGACATGGTGGCATCTCCACCCTTGGGCTCATCAGCATCCACATGAACAAAGCCCCGAGTGACCCGAACTGTCTGCAGGGGCGGTCCTACGTGGAGCAGAGACAGCCAGAGATCTTGTCCCACCTGAACCTATCTAAGATTCATTAAACATTAAAAACTTCACCATGGTCTCAAGACCCCACACCACAAATAGCTGGAAACTACCAGAGCATCTGGAGAGACGTCTTTACATCTTCACCCTGTTCTTATGCTCTTTTGAGCGTATACCTCTCATGAGGCATAAAGTTTGAGTCTTTCCTCCTCCCTAGCTTTCTTTATTGATAAAGGATTCAATTGCAGCAGCAGCGCAGAGAGAGGGCCTGTGACTAATGCGTTGGCTGGAAGAGCTTGCCTGTAAACCTGTCCCAGGAGCCAAACTACTTAACCACTCCTTGGTGACTGCTCTGACTTATCTGCACCAAAGGAACAGGCCAGCTGCACTTATTTTCCAACAAAGACGCCCTTCTCTTTTTTTTTTAAACCTTGGGAAAACGTCAACAGCAAGTCTTTAAACACTGCTAACGGTGTCTGGCACGTTACCCCTCCGGGGGAGGCTGGAGACAGCCTGGGCAGCTTTTCCTGCTGCGACGTGGCAGGACCTTGCTGGGCCAGACCAGTTGGAAGCTCAGCTCTGTCAAAAAGAGACGACGGCATCAGTATGTTTTATGGAAACGGTTCAGAGCCAGCCGAACTCCCCAGTAGGAGCAAGTGTGCAGAAATAACAGGATTATTCAGGAGCTTTGTGACCCAGCCCCATGCTGCTGGTTTTATGGCAAAGCTCTACACTGTTCCCGGGGAACGGGGTGCTCTTGGCACTGCTGCAAGCTGGGCCCTTATTGCAGCCTCCTCTCATTGCTCACAGATGGATATACTATCTGGATGCGTTACACGTCCACAATTTGGCAGTGACGTTTTTTTCCTGCCCTCTGCAGCTTACTCAGCTGTGGGCAGTTTTTCACTGGTGCACCTTGATATTGGGGCTGACCTGGCAAACAGCTAAAGCAAGAACACGAGATGCTTCTACAGTACCTGTACAGAGACACAGACAGCAGGCTAAGCTATCCTAGCCGGGTTTGCAAGCAGGCATACTCTCTTGGTTTGCCCTCATTTTTGCTCGTCGTCTGCCCTGGTTCAGGCTTGCGGGGTCCAGCTGTTCTGTGATCATGGCTCAGTCTGGTGCTCCATTACCAACAGAGCCCCACTGTCAGATTAAGCAGGTCCATGAGCCAAGCGCGTGCTGAAACCTGACCTCGAGGACGTTGTTTGGCACAAGCAGCCTCAAAGAGTGAACTGTTTCAGCCTGCCAGCAGCCCCGCAACCTGGACCAGGCTGGGAATGACTGTGGCAGCCCACCTTTCCCAGAAAGGACCCTCTCAGCAAGGACGAGAAGGGGAAGAGAGTTGCAAACTGAGCCATGCCCTTCCAGGGTGCATGGACCTCCTTTTAACAAGCCTCTCTTAACAGTTTTGACTTTGTTCTGCGGGGATGTGGGTGGAGAGAGCCCACGTCCTGCTGGTTCAACCAGCAGGACCTGCAATCTTGTATGGCCTGGAGGCAGATGCCACTGCAGCAGCACTTCAGCAGAGCTGCTCCCTGTTAGGACAGCATCCCCAAGGCGGAGGGAACGTGTGCTCAGCAGGGGGAGCGAGATACGGACCAAGAGAGCACCGGCTGAGGTTGCATCGCTTGAGTGTGCAGGTGACTGGACTCAGAAGCACGCTAAAAAAACCTTCCTAGCACATTAAAAAGCAAATGCACAATTGCACAAGCCACTCGGGTGACTAACCCCAGAGCCTGTAGCCATTAGCAAAGAGCAGCTGGGTGTTAGGGGAGAAACCAAGAGTTCTCTTGCCCCTTTTAATATTTGCAAGTCTCCTCAGCCCCCTCCCCGGATGTCAGCAGGCTTAGCCTGGACTTCCTCATCTCTAGAACAGAAACTGTCACATGGGGTTTTCAGCCATGAAACTGTTACAGGAAATAGCTGACTGCGGTTAGCTTCCTTGTAAGCTTGGGTCACTGTTCAAATGTGAAAGCAGCTCTGGCCAAACCACCCAAATCAGCTCGGGATGTGCTGGGGTGAGTGGTGGTAGAGAAAGAATGACATTTTAAAACACATATTTTTTTCCCCCCGCACTTAGGAAAGCATTAGGATAGAGAGATTTCCTTCCATTCCAGGCCTTTTACGAGAGACATGTGGTGTGTTTAATGAAGAGAACAACAGTAAAATGTCTGAAGCATAATCTAGTAGTTATCTAGATGCAGAGATTACACAGAATTTGGAGAGGAAATGGGATGGCAAGCAGTTTCCAAGAAAGCAAAGTCCTTTGCCTCAAGCTTCTTCTCATGGCAAAACTGCTGTGGGGCAGGGTTTTGTCTCAGCTGTGTTGCTCTTGCCCACCAGCAGGCAAGAAACCATGCTCTCACACACGTACCTTGTTTCTCCAGCCTCAGCACACCAGTCAGCCTGGGCTGCTTCCTTTCCCAGGACACAAGTGCCCCACCACAGAGCAGCTCCAAGCTGCCTTTGGGCACTTCTGCTGCTGCTGGGAGAATCACACTGCAAAGACATTGCCCAAAGGGCCTCTTGTGCACAAACCGCCATGGGTGACAGTCACTGCATGCTCCACTGTGCCAAGGGGGAAGGGAAGCATTAGGGATCAGCAAGAAACAGTATGTAGTAGCAGGGAGAGGCTTTACCAACTGGCTTACATGCCATTTCCTAGCTGCATGCCTATTCCATACTCTTTTTGTAGCAGGGAACAGATTTACAGCTTGCTCAAACAGCTTGCATCTCAGCCTGTCAACATGCTTCCTTTTGCCATGTAAAAACTGGCAGCAGGCATCTGAGAAACTAAGATCTTTACCTTAACCAGCTGCTGTGAATAGCAAAACACTGTGCAAATCTAGTTCATATTATGAAAGTGAGAAACCCCAAAATAACTACAATCAGTTTTATTTCCGTGCAGGGCAAGGGCTAAGTCTTGCCCTCTGCTAGGCTGGGGAGTAAGAGATCTCCAAGCTGTGGCCTTTATGGCCAAAGCTAGGTGAAGCTCATGAACTAGCTCTCTTAAGTATTTGCACTAAAATTGCTCTGCTTCTGCGGTGAGCCCAACTGTCTGGCTAGTGCTCTTATTGCCGTGACAACAGGAATAACTAGTTTGAGGGGAGGAAGGGTTTGATTTTCAGTTCATTCTGGCATCAGAAGAGAGCCTGACCCTCCTAACATGATTGCACTCTTAGCATCCATCACACACCAGTACCTAGGCCAAGAGACAGAGCACAATGAAACCAAATCAGGCCTTGTGGGGTCCCCCCCTCCCCTTCCCCTACCTGGCAGTAGAAAAAAAAGTTACATGACAGACTGTCTCAAGATAAATGCAGAGACACCTGAAAAGGCTGTTCCTGACACTTCAAACATAGCATCACCGCACTCACTACCTGGGCTGCAGCCACCACCAAGACAATTGGTCCCTCCTGCTGCTCCAGAGGCTCTGGAAACAGCTAGAAGCATTCACACAGACAGGGAGACTAAATGAATAGGCAGGTCTTTCCTGTTTCAGGCAGGAGAGCCCACTGGCAGTGCGGGCTGCTCCCTGCCAAAGGCTGCTTGCAGGAAGCAGGTCCTGTTTCCAAACCACCTTCTCAGCCCTGTGGGCATTTAACTAAGAACACAGCAAAGTACACAGTCAATGTTTTGTTCCACCTTTATTTTAACAATCAGATAAAAACAGAACCACAGTTTTAAAAAGAGAGTCATTACGTTGCGATTATAAAGTGCATTTTTCACTTGAGTGTTGTGTACAAAAATATCTTTTAAAAAACAAACATGCAGAAAACCCCAAAAGGCACTTCCAGGCATAGAGTGAGGAGGGTAACCCCCTCACTTCTATGTTCACATTAGCAATGGAAAAGGGGAGAAGGGGAAAGGCCACAAGTAGTAGTTTTAAACCACTATTGGTCAGACAGTCAGTTCTGAGCCCATCTTTTACTTATGGTTTTGCTCTTCTAGCTCATCTTCCACACTCTTCCCTAAGCACACCACTTCCGTGGCCTGCAAACACACAGGCCCTGTAAGGAGATACCACCATCCACAGCACCCTGGACATACATGCCTTCCTTTGGGCCACCAACAGCCTTCCCCAGGCATGAGCACATGCTAGGAGTACACAGCTCTTCTACCGTCAGTGTTTTAGAGCATTAACATCACACACTAAGTCCTAGATCAGTATCACTCAGATTTAAGTCTAAAAACAGCTTCAAGCCAAGCCAGGCAGTGGTCCCTTAAGAGAGGGACCATGTTAGAGAATGCAGGCCAACACAGCTGATGCAGGAAGCTGTTTGAACAGAGATATCAAGCCTGATGAGCTCTGGGCTAGCAAATGAATTTGCTGCCTGGAATTAGTGATCAAGCACAGTGATGAGATGCATTGATGTTGGGTTCTGGGGGAAAAAAAAAGAAAAAAAAAGCAGCAGCAATTGAAAGCTAGTCATTCTTCCTGCAGGCTCTTCTTGTCCTTTCAGGATCCAACAGCAAACTCAGTACACCTAAGTTAGAGCAAAACAGCTCGGAAGTATTTTATATAGTAGTCTCCAGAATTAAAAGCTAAGTTTAAAAAAGTTAAGTAGTCTAGTACTTTGCTTCTGCCCCACCTCTCCAAGAGGTGGGCACCCCAAAAGACTATATAAAGCTTATGCACTAGAACAAAAATATACTCTTGACCTGTTTCTACAAACTACTCACCGCTCTCCCTTTGAGCATAGGGAATAAGTTATTCTGCTCAGCTAGTACACAAGAAGCTTTGAGATAAACAGGCAAACTGTGGCTGGGATTGCATGTACCACTACTTTCTCAGTCAAGTCACTTCCACCACAGTAGGCTCTGTGGCCTCTTCTTCATGGGACGTGGCAGAGAGCAGCTGCATGGTTTGTTCATGCTGAACTCCCACAACACCTCGACGCAGCTCTCTGCCCAGGCCCCAGCCATCCCAGGCAAAGACCCTGTTTTACAGTTTGTGGGCAAGAGAGCTGCATTTTCAGGATCCAGCAAAGCCAACAACTGACTTTAGATGTGCCTCAAGGAGAAAAGCATCATCTGTTACTTGCTATTTGAAAAGGGAAGGTTTTGAAGAAAACCATCAAGGCTGTTAACAGCACCACACAGCTATAGCTTAGCTCTATTTTTAGCTAACACCACCAAGGGTATGATGAAAGCTTTTAAGATCAGCTGATAAAACAATTGGTGACTAAACATACACACATTCTCCTCGAGGGGCACATACATCTCCTAATAAGGCAGGCCACAGGGTCACATTTCCTATCATCACAGTTGCATTTTCATTTCCAAAACACCTCTTTGTCTCAAAGAGAGGGGACCCTACGCTACAGGGAAGGGTGCAAGAAGAGGACTCAGTCCCCCACCAGCCAATCAGTTTATAAGTTGTTATTTCCCAACAGGCACAGCTCAGCTTTGCAAGAGCTGTTCTGTGGCAAAGCCAAAGCGTGGCCCACTAAAGATACATGACAACACATTTGGAAAAGAGCTTGTTAAAACTAGCAAGCAACACACAAACCAGCCACCACTATATAGCTTAGACTGACAATACAAGCACTGTGGCAAGTGTTTCTCTGGAGACTAGCAGCTTTATAGAAGAGGAAGGACTAGCAGCAGTGAATGGACCAGCATCTCCTGTTCCTTTAAGGATCTGGAAAGCCAGCGGTCCAACTTGAGATGGGGAAGGTAGCCCACTAGGCCAGAGATGCTTCCCTGACCATGAGTCAGCCTCCAGCAGAGCGCTACACTCATCTCATTTTGCTGGGAGGCTCCTGCAGGACTACGTGAAGCATCTTTTTTTTTTTCCTCCATCTTTTGACACACCTCATGTTCAGACCAGCTCCCAAGCCTGCAGATGCACCAGCAACAGTTAGTCAATCAGGACTTGATCCCCAGATTAATAGTAAGGCCCTAACTTCTCATAGCCCGAGTAGCTTGGCCACTCGGGAAACAGGCCATAGGAGCACCGGGGACTCCCAAACTGGTCAAAGGCGCTTCCAAAGTCAGGGCCGCCTGAAGGGCGAAACGCTTCCTGGGCGGACTTCAGTTCTGATCGTATGATCCTGTAATTTGTGCCCTTATTGCTGTCCCAGTACACTTTCCCATTACACTCAAAGGAGACGGCAAACTCGACTCTTTCGTGGGACTGAATTCCCTCTGGCAAGCTGATGTCAAAGGAAAACGTGTCCCTGTCTGACCCCTCATACATATCCTTGACATATTGGCATGGGTAGTCTACATAGCTTTTCCAGGTGTCAAATGTCATCCTGATCTTCACAGTCTTTTCAAAAGCAAGATTCCTCACCTTCACTGTGCCCACAATAGACCGCTCCTTTAGTGTACAGTTTTCAAGGCACACACAGTCTGCCTGAAGTCGGTTTCTGAAGTCCAAGTAGTCCACAGAGGGCTGAACAAAATCCAGGACAAAGCTGTCTTTCTCAACTGTTGTCAGCCCCACGATGTCATCTATCAGCTCAGTGATATTGAAAGGAATATCTAGGGGATCATCAAATTCTGAGAACACCTTTACCATTGTCAGAGCAAAGCCTCTGCTATCTGCAAATGACACCTTCTTCTTCACCTTGTTTTCTGTGAAGGAGTTTGCTGCCTCTTCTGGTCTGCTCAGCTCAGTCTTGCTATTCAGCTGGATACAGGGCCGCAGCGGTTTAATTGGCTTTGGAGCAATTTTGCAGGCACGCTTCTCTCTTCGCAAAGGTGAAGGGCACAGGTACAGCTGCATTGCTATATCCACAGCCATTGCTTGTTTGTGAGGAAAGTAGTCTAAAACTCTGAAAGATAAGAAGCGTCAGTTTATGTTAGAGGAACCTTTTATGAACCTGACTTGTCAGACCACTGCTACTCTGCTTCCTCCCCTCCCTCCTCAGAGCTTAGCTTCCATCATCCACCCCCAAGTCCCTAAAGCGTCATTAAAGGCAAGTACTTATATGGTATGATGGACAGACATGTTCAGAAGTGTACTACAGCAGAAGAGGCTGAAGCAGAGCTTCTTGTGTCCTTCAAGCACAGGATCACCTCCAATTGCAGCTGGGCCAAAGCAACCATTTGAAACAAACCCTGCCAGGCTAGCAATAGCAGCCTGTGGAGCTTTTTTGACCCAAAGCAAAAGCCATGGCTGTGTCAGGTTTTGTGGTCAGCAGCAGGACAGGGATCATCACAGACTCCAGTGCGACCTAATGCAGTATTTCTGCTGTAGCTTCCTCCCTCCAGCAGAGACTCTCCCCACTGCACCAGACGATTTTGTAGGAACAGGAACCCATTTCATCACAAGCTGCTGTGTGCAACTGACCTCACCTTTCACCGAACCCTGAGCAGCAAGCTTTTTCAGAGGGAAAAAAAGCAGATACACCATGCACATTTGTCAGGTTGAACTACAGGTCAGCTGAGACAGTCCAGCAAGTTTTTTACCTCCAGTGCAGAGCTTGTTCCTCAAACCTCTGCAGCACTTGTGCCAAGCCTCTGGGAGATGTTGGCACAGCCACAGGGCTCAGTCAAGCACACCTACTCAAGGCTTACTGAGGCTTTGAAAAATAAGTACTTCCTCCAGAAGGCTCAGGCTGTGTGGTCCTCCACCACAGCCTTTCCTTCTCTAGGATTTGGCCCATACTTGGAGGGATGCAGCAGTCTCCTCTCTGGAGGAGCTTCCACTTGGCATTATTGCCTAGAGCTGCATCTGCAGGCAAACAGTTCTTAACACATCTCACTTGTCATTCCTTCCCTTACATTGAAGCTAGATTGGACATTCTTGGAAGAATTGATTTGGCCTGGCTCCAGATAAGCTCCAGGACACAGATTTATTGCATCCCTCTTCATAATCAGCTGGGGCACACCTGACCTTCAGCTCAGAGTATTCTCTGAATAAAAATTCCCTGCTTGACTGCAGATCATGCTCCAAACCTGCTCCCACTGCATGATCCACTGTGAGCCAGCAGCAGTAGTAGCAGTCCGCTGACCACATGATACACCAGTGCTCAAGCTGCCAAAATACTCCTGGCCAGCTCCAGTACAGGACTGCAGTCCCCATGCCAAGAAAAAGCAGAACAACACTCCTCCGATTCAGCCCTTTAGCTCCCCACCCTGCAATGCCAACAGAGCAGCTCTGAGGGGTCTTTCACAGCATCCATTCAGCAAGGGCATCTGCTTATTCAGAGTACACATGCCAAGGCCTGCTCCTCAACACACCCACCGCCTAGCTGCTTCTGGGCGGCCACATCAGATGGACAGCAGACCCACCTGTCTGCTAACACCATTCTGCTCAGCTCTACCTGGTTTCACCAAGTTTTTATTCATACATGCTTTAAATAAGTCACTTCCTCCTTTAAAATAAGGCAGCCTCTTATCTAGGTCAGCTTCTCCATTAGTCTCATCTTTTCCCAGCAGAAGTTATTTAACTGAATTCCCATAGCTGCAAAAAACCCAACTTTTCTTAGTAAGCCTCAGATATTCCTGATTTTTTTTTTTAAAAATGAAGAGGCATGCAATATCCAGCCCAATTTGCATTACTTAGTCCTTAGTGTGGCAAAAGGTCCACAGTAGAGCTTTTCTTACCCACTATTAAATTGAGCAGCCCACTCCACAAACTGGCTGCAGTTTCCAGCTCGTGTTATGCTCCAGACCTCACTTTCAGCTCTTGATTTGAGGTTCAGCCAAATCCCCAACTCACAATCATACAGAGAACAGTCCCCCTTTCACAGCTAATATCAGCCATAACTCCAGATAGTTTGATGGTGAGAGCAGAAAACATAAGTTTTAAGAGCTCACATGGCAAAGCGAGTTCAGGAAGAGGAGGAAGCAAGGCAGGGGGGAAGAGAGGCAGCCCTTTGCAGTTATGGAGACAGCTTCCTTTTTCCTCCTCTAAAAAAGGAGGGAGGAGACTAGACTTTGCTGTTTGTACCCAAAAACCTCTTCTGGCAGTTTCATCCTCTCCAGGAAGAGACATCCCTGCTCATGCTTCCCTCCATTTTCAAAAAGGAGCTCAGAGCAAGGGAATTTTTCACATTCACAATTATCAAAAGCCTCAGATTGCAGAGGCAATCTGCACCTTTCAGCACCACTTTTATGTAGGCTCCTTCTGCTACCCTTCACTGACAGCTTGACATGCAGCAGCCCTCAGACCAGCTGCAGGAAGTTTTTAGAGGTTATATGCTGCCATTCTGTTTTTCAGCCCTCCATCACTCCTGGTTGGGAAAAAGGCCAAGCTGTTCCTACAGTCCAGCCCTGTCCTTACAGGCAAGTATCTGAAGTCCAGGCAATGCATGTTAACCCTGCTATAGCCAGTCTCCTCCACCCACATGCACAAAGCACAGCTCTTCAGGCCTCTCCTATGCAGCTGAAACCAGATGAGAGAGCCAGAAACAACCAGGTTTCTCCTCTCTTGGAGGAAGCTGGCACAGAGCCTGGCACAAGCCACAGATCCTCCACCAGCACCTTGCCTCACAGGAAGCAGAGGCAGGAGGCCTAACAAATTCATCACTGCCCCAGGGCTACCCCTCACAGCAGCTGTGGTCCACCAGGCCCAAACAGCCAGGCTTGGGAGGGGGAGGAACTGATGTAAGAAATCAAGGGGGCACCCCAGAAGCCAAATCCAAGGCCAGAGCAAACCCCATAGGGCCTCCACAACTGAGACCTGTGAATATCATCACCACAGTGATGAGGCCAGGGCAGAAAGAGAGCTAGGACAGACCCACTGCCCAGGTACCTCAGGCACTCGCTGGGGAGCAGGGCAGACACCGGATGAAACC